TCTCTTGGATGTTATCTATCTGATACTATCTGGTCTACAAACATATGAAGCAGTTACAGATTATATTGCACAATTATGGAAACATAACGTCAAATAGTAGAAACTGACATTATAATGTAAGAATAACTTATAAGACATATTCGCAATGACCTGTGCAGGAAAACGACTTACAGAAATAAACGACTCAAGTGGCTAAGAACAACGTTTCATCTTATGGAACCTGTATTTGCAAGAAAAACGGCGTCAAGAAAAACGGCGGTAAAAAAAAAAAATTTCTCGAAGTTAATAAGAGAGATGATTTTAATTTTCTTGCAGGATATAAAATTCCTCTTCCAATAATATAAAACATGTCTTGGTAACATTTTTTCCGGCTACACCTAATATTCACTCGAAATAGACGAAAGGAACGACCGTCGGTACGTCAGAAGTTGTTCTGGAGAAAGGTGTATTGTTTGTCTGAGAGACCTGCTATGTGAGATGCTTAATATTGCTCAGCAATGATTAAGGCCTCTAATAGTTTTACTCCCCAACCCCCCCACAAAAAAAGAATGCTAATTGGCCGATAATTGGTATGGTAGGGCGTTTCACCTGAGTTCTTAAAGACTGGAACAGTAGATGAGGACTCCCAACAGGCAGGAAAACATGAGGCAGCGAGTTATATGAAAAGCGAAAGGCGTATAGCTTGTATGAAAGAAAGACCTGCTATGTGTGATGCTTAGCATTGCTCAGCCTCAGGAAAGAATGAGGCAGCAAGTTATTTATTATACAGTTTAGAGAGAACAAGAGCCAGTTCAGGAACACACGTCTTAAAGACTATTACAGGCAGACCATCTGTTCGACATGCTTTGTGGGGATCCAGATTAAAGATGATAGCACAAACTATAGAAGTTAGAAGAAGTGTTGATATATCCATATCTGTTTTTATTGTATAATTATTTTAATCAATGATCTGAGAAAGCGGTTTTGTACAAATGACAGTTGAACATTTCCGAATAGGTTGGGTGCCATGTATGAAACCAGTATAAAACTGTCGATCTCTCGAGGCTATGTAAGATCATTACACGAGTTTTCAGGTTGATGTTTTTGTTATTTTAGCAATTTGCACTGATTTTTTTAAAAATAATTTCATCGTTTACAAGGTACTAAAGCCACTGAGGTTGCAGGGTGTGAATGAATAAGAAAAAAAAACCCCAGAAACATTACTAAGGATTAAGAGCAATAGTAATCAAGAAGAGAGTAGATATAAATTGAGATTGCATTAACGTTTTTGAGGATCAAAGTTGGCTGGAAAGCAAGAAGCCGGAATAGAATTCCACAAGCATGAAGTACAAGAGAAGAATCTATTAGCATAGAACTTACGGTTACATGTAGCCATTTCAAGTGTATATCAATGAGACCTCACCGCTAGAATAGTACTGCGCTTAAATTCATAAAGTCGAGTTATCATAATAATTGTATATCCAAGCAGTTAGCATGAAAGTATTTATAGAAAAGTCAGTGAGAAGCTACGTAATGGCGGTGGTAAAGTGATTGAAGCTGAGATAACAGGTCAGGACCAATAATATTGCTGATTTTTTGAGAAACTAGCTCTAATTCAGACAATTCTACATTAAATTTCCTTTTTTTTTAAGCATTCAACCCCAGGCAAGGCAGGAAGCTAATTGCACGCAAAGGGTTTCAGAGTAGGATTGAGAACAAAGATAAGTGACAAAGGAAAGGATGAAGAGAAGGATAGTGGATAGATCAAGGCACCTGGAGACATCGATTTACGTTACATTTAAATAGTTGGAAATTATAGTTATCAGGAAAACAGGAAAAGGTGAGGGAGTTCCACAGGCGAGAAGTGCGAGACATGAAGCTATTGGAGTAGAAGAGACGGCTACATTTAACAGTTTCGACAGTGAACGGGTGAGAGCGATATGCCAGCCTAGTTGAGCGCTTAAATTCACGAAGTCTGGGAACCAGCGAAAAAGACAGAGGAAAGCAACGGCACATCTGTGAGAGAGCGCCTGCAGACGAGATGCCAGATCAGGGCCAATTATATTGCATATCCGTCTTTGGATTTTATCAAGGACCTTGAGACAATTAGAAGGGGCTCCAGACCATATATGGCAGCAATACTCCATGCAAGGGCGAATGGTTGATTTGTAGATTTGAAGGATCGACTCCCGCGAGAAAAATTTCCTGGCTCGGCATAGAGAGCCAACAATCCTAGCGGTGGACGAAGCTATTGACTCAATGTATTTGTTCCATCTCAGGTCAGCGGACAATGTGAGACCGAGCAGTCGCAAAGAGGTGCTCTCGTGGAGTTGAGCGTCAGGCATTCTAATGGGACGCAGGGATGGTTCTCTCTGATGATTAATAGAGGGAAGTTTTGTTTTTGAGGTATTAAAGTTAACCAGCCAATGCCTGTCCCAATCCACAACCGATTGGAGGTTCTTTTCAAGACAAACGGCCAGGTTAGTTTTATCGGCAACATTAGATTTGTTTTTGAGGCAGGAGTTTTTCTCCTATACTAAAGCTTACGGTCATATCACGTTGACCAAATGTAATCATCATCGAGCTTGGTCAGTACGTAGATAAGTGACCGCTTAGGAATACCTGTAAAGCTTGGATGTGCGGGTGGTGTAATGGATATCGTCTCTGAATTGTTAATCAATGAGCCGAGTTCCAATTCCATTGTGTCGTTATAGTCACTTAGGCACAAATATCCTTGGTAAAAGTATGAATCCACTTCTCCTCCCAGCTATGGGTTAATTAGTTACTTGTATCACTAAATCATTATTATCTCCCTTCTAAACATTCTTATAATCCAAAAATATTTTCTGGCTTTAAAGAACCTGCAAACGGTTAAGTCGTAGAAAACTAATCAATCGAACCAGTCAATCTTACAGCAAATTTGTTATGACTGCTCTATAATCCAAGATATATGATGCATTTTGTATTTGCCAATGATGCTGAGGATAAGATGAACTGAACATGTAAGCAACGACGAAGTTTTAGAGAAAATGGAAACGAAAAAGACACTTATACTTGCCATCAAAGTTCTAGTGTACAAAATAAGGAAAGATGGGTTAGAAAATCTGATACTCACAGGGCAGACTGAAGTCAAGATGAACAGATGAAAACGACCAATAACCTACTTTGTGAACATGAGTAAATGGATCTCGGAACAGGGTATATGCGAGATACAAAATGACAAAATATATTAAGAGCTACAAAAGACCGGAAATTGTGGAGAGAGAAAAAAAGATGAAGAATTCTAAATCTTGAATTTTTATAATTCATTCAGGGTATAGACCATGAAATTCCAATTCTAAATAAATTTTGGTAATTAAGGTTGATTCTTTTTTTTCAAGATTATTTTTTTAATAAGTCATTAGCACATTCTTCGTCATCATCAGTATGTTGCTGCGGATCTAAGTCAACCCACAATAAAGAAAAAGGCAGGGACGGTGCTAAAATATTAATTTTTCTTTCCATGTTTTTACAACAGAATTTTTCTGAGCATATATAATTATTAAAGTTTTACTGTACTTGTTTGTAACTGCTAAGATGAAAAGAAATGTGATTTCTTCGCGTGTATGTGAGAAAAAAGAGGCAAAAAGGATAGTATGGAGAAAAGTGTAAGTGTCACGTAGCTTGGTGAGGAAGACAGGTGAATGGGTAAGGGAATTTCTTTTAATTGTCTTTTAATGCGCGAAACCTGACTCAGAAACCATTTTTTATCATTGAGAGAGAGAGAGAGAGAGAGAGAGAGAGAGATAGATAGATATGAACAGTGACAAAATGATAGATAGATATTAACAGTGACATAGATAGATAGATAGATAGATAGATAGATAGATAGGTGGGAACAGTGACATAGATAGATAGATAGATAGATAGATAGATAGATAGATAGATAGATAGATAGATAGGTGGGAACAGTGACATAGATAGATAGATAGATAGATAGATAGATAGATAGATATGACCAGTGATAAAAAGATAGATAGATATGAACAGTGACATAGGTAAATAGAGAGATAGATAAATAGATAGATATGAACAGTGACAAAAAAGATAGATAGATAGATAGATAGATAGATAGATAGACAGGAACAGTGACATAGATAGATAGATAGATAGATAGATAGATAGATAGATAGATAGATAGATAGGAAAAGACTGGTACACATAATATATATAGAAAAGATATATAAAAAACAAATGCACGGAAAGAAAAATGAATTGATAAGTATATGAAGCAACTGATAGATAGATAGATAGATAGATAGATAGATAGATATGTATATTGTAATGGAGCTAGCTAGCTAGATAGATAGATAGATAGATAGATAGATAGACTTATGACTCCCTCATTTTAAGGCAGTGGTTACCGATATTTTACAGTAAATCATTCTTTACAATTGCTAAGATTTACTAAGTACATATTTGAATTCATGTTAACAAATGTTTCACGTAGGCTATTAATATTATTATTTTCTCTATCGGAAAAGTCGACATTGATGTTTGCCGATCAGTCCATGTTCCAGCGACTAAATCTTGAACACGCTTCGGCCATCAATTCTAATGAATACGCACGGAAGGTTGCAAGAAAGACGTTGGCCACCATGAAGAATGAATGAACGGAAATCTAGCCCAATTATCAGCCATCGCACACTTTGTGCATCTATCTTGTGATTATACGCGAAAACAAATAGTCCTTGGCTCTGATTTAATTCGACATGTGTGCTGTTTCCTGAGCGAGGAACTGTTCTAAGCCAGCCTCCCTTGTTCGCCCGAGAGGATGCGCTAATCGTTGACACAGTTCACGTGGATGAAACGGATGGAAAGATAATAAGTGATTCACGAGAAGAGCATGGGAGAATATCATTTGACCCCCGAGATGAGGAAAGTCAAACAAAATTATGGATCATTTATGCGTATTCGACATTAATATGGGCAGGACAATGAAAGCATACAAGGAAACTGATGGGTGGAAGCGCTCTGTGATA